TATTTGATTCTTTGCTCACACGCCGTCTGGTGCAAGGCACGCTCGCTCGCTCGCTCCTGGTGCTGCTTCTGCTGCTCTTCCTGGCAGTCCAGCTGCTTCCGGAGCGCGGCGAAATCCGGGCGGAATTCTTGTTGCGTGCGCCCCGCGAGCGCCTTGTACTCGTCGGCGTGCCCATCGATCTGGCTCTCAAGCACCGTGCATATTGTGTTCGATGGATCTCCACTGGCCTTCAAAGGTGGCCAGCGGCTTCTCGTGCAAAGTCTGACGCCCGCACTTGGTCTGGTTCTTGCCCTGGGTGGCGCTCTAAACTTCGTTGAAGGGGCGAAGGTCCTGAATGATGGCTGCCAGGAAGGGTGTTCCTCCAAAGGCGCGGGCTGAGACATCGCCCATGACGTTCGATTGCCCGGCGATTTCCGCCAAGAACTACTTCGAAGCATTTGGTGCTGGCACTGCTGGGCCACAGGTGCGTGACCACAGCCTGATCGAACCACTCGCGCGCAAGCCGACGGGGCGGGTGCCGAGCCAAGAGGAATAGCTTCACGCAAAGTCGCTACAAATGAAAGAAGGGGGAGAGGAAGGTGGAGGAAGGGCAGGAGGAGGAGGAGGAGCGGGGTGGAAGAGGTGGAGGACGGGAAGAGAGAGTAGAAGAAGGTGTAGTAGAAATCGTAGAAGTAGTTGTTGTTGTCGTAAGTGTAGTAGTAGTCGTAGTAGTCGTAGTAGTCGTAGTAGTCGTAGTAGTCGTAGTAGTCGTAGTAGTCGTAGTAGTCGTAGTCGTAGTCGTAGTCGTAGTAGTAGTAGTAGTAGTAGTAGAAGTAGTAGTAGTAGTAGTAGTAGTAGTAAGAGAAAGAGTAAGAGTAGTAGGAGTAGTAGTAGTCGTAGTAGTAGTAGTCGTCGTCGTCGTCGTAGTAGTAGTAGTAGTAGTCGTCGTCTTAGTAGTCGTAGTACTCGGAGTTGCAGTAGTAGCTGTAGTAGCCGTCGCAGTTGTAGTAGTACTGGTAGTAGTAGTAGTTGTTGTTGTACTAGTAGTAGTAGTAGTAGTAGTAGTAGTAGGAGGAGGAGGAGGAGGAGGAAGAGGAGGAGGAGGAGTCGTAATAGTAGTAGTAGCAGCAGTAGTAATAGTAGTAGTAGCTGATGTCGTAGTAGTAGTAGTAGAAGAAGAAGAAGAAGTAGAAGTAGTAGTAGAAGTAGTAGTTGGAGTAGTAGTAGTAGTAGCAATAGTAGCAGTAGTAGTAGCAGTCGCCGTAGCAATCGTAGCCGTACTAATAGAAGTAGTAGTAGAAGTAGTAGTAGTAGTAGTAGTAGTAGTAATCGTAGAAGCAGTAGTAGTAGTTGTTGTTGTGTCATCGTAGTATTTGTAGTGCGTGTAGTAGTAATTGTTGCTATCGTAGTAGATGTATTGTAGTAGTGGTAGTTGTGGTAGTCATAGCAGTAGTGGTGATAGTAATAGCAGTAGTAGCTGTTGGAATGGTAGTAGCCGTAGTTGTTGTTGTAGTAGCAGTTGTAGCAAAAATAGCAGCTGTAGTAGTAGTAGTAGTAGTAATAGTGGTAGTAGTAGTAGTAGTAGTAGTAGTAGTAGTAGTAGGAGCAGGCTTGACCTTACCCGATTTGCCCCAGGGAGCCTCTGGGATCGTATGGCAATCGTATGGAAATCGGATGGTAATCGGATGGTAATCGTTTGGCAATCGCGTGGTAGTCGTATGGGCGTCGCATGGTAATCGTATGGAAATCGTATGGTAATCGTATGGTAGTCCTATGACAATCGTATGATAGCCGTATGGTAGTCGTATGGTAGTCGTGTGGTAGTCGTATGGTAATCGTATGGTAATCGTATGGTAGTCGTATGGTAATCGTATCGTGTTCGCATGGTAGCTGTATGGTAGTCGCATGGTAATCGTATGGCAGTTACATGGTAGTTGTATGGCAAACGTACGGTAGTCGCATGGTTTTCCGTATGGTAATCGTTTGGTAATTGCTTGGTACTCGTATGGCAATCGTATTGTAGTCGTATGGCTTTTCGCATGGTACCGTATGGTGTTTCGCATCGTGTGGTAATTGTCTGGTGCCCGTATGGTAATCGTACGGTAATCGTACGGTAACCGTATTGTAATCGCATGGTAATCGGATGAGAACCGTATGGTAATCGCAGGGTTACCGGTTGGTAATCGCATGGTAGTCGCATGGTAGTCGTATGGTAATCGTATGGTCATCGTATGGTAGTTGTAGGTAATCGTATGGTAATCGTATGGCGTTCGTATGGTAGTCGCATGGTCTTCGCATGGTCGTCGCATGGTAATCGTATGGTAACCGTACGGTACTCGCACGGTAATCGTGAGGTAGTCGCATGGTCGTCGCATGATGATCGTATGGTAATCGTATGGTAATCGGTTGGTAGTCTTATGGTAATCGTATGGTAGTCGTACGGCAACCGTTTTGTAATCATATGGTAGCCGTATGGTAATCGTATGGCAGTCGTATGGTAGCCGTACGGTAATCGTATGGTAGGCGTATGGTAGTCGTATGGTAATCGTATGGTTTTTCGTATGGTAATTGTACGGTAACCGTAAGGTAGTCGTATGGTAACTGCATGGTAGTCGTATGGTTGTTCGTATGGCTTTCGTATGGGAATCGTATGGTAGTCGTAATGTAGCCGTATGGTAGTCGCATGGTAAGCGTATGGTAATCGTATGGTGATCGTGTGTTTTTTCGCATGGTAATCGTATGGTTTTCGTGTGGTACTCGTATGGCTTCCGTATGGTAATCGTATGGTAATCGTATGGTTTGTTCGCATGGTTTCCGTATGGTTTTCACATGGTAATCGTATGGTTTTTCGTACGGCAGCCGTATGGTAATCGCACGGTAATCGAGCGGTAATCGTATGGTAATCGTGCGGTAGTCGTATGGTAGCCGTAGGGTAGTCGTGTGGTAACCGTAGGATAATCGTATGGTAATCGTATGGTAATTGTATAGTTGTGCGTATGGTTTTCGTATGGTAGTCGTACGGCAATCGTATTGTAGTCGTATGGTAATCATATGGTTTTTCTTACGGCAGTCGTATGGTAATCGTATGGTATGGAAACCGCACGGTAATCTTATGGTAGTCGCATTCGCATGGTAATCGTATAGTAGTCGTGTGGTAGTCGTATGGTAGTCGTATGGTAATCGTATGGTAGTCGCATGGAAATCGCATGGTAGTCGTATGGCTGTCGTATGGTAGTCGTATAGTAATCGTATGGTAGTCGTTTGGTTTTCATGTACTTTTCGTGCGCGGCGGGTCCATCCCCACCCCAGGTAGTCGTAGTCATAGTAGAAGTAGTAATAGTAGCAGCAGCAGCAACAGCAGAGGCAGTAGTAGTAATAATAATAGTAGTAGTAGTAGGAGTAGTCGTCGTAGTAGTCGTAGTAGTCGTAGTAGTCGTAGTAGCCGTAGTAGCCGTAGTAGTAGTAGTAGTAGTAGTAGTAGTAGTAGTAGTAGTAGTAGTAGTAGGAGTAGTAGTAGTTGCCGTTGTAGTTGTAGTTGTAGTTGTAGTTGTGGTAGGAGTACTAGTAGTAGTAGTAGTAGTAGTAATACTAGTACTAGTACTAGTACTCAGTAGTAGTAGTAGTAGTAGTAGTAGTAGGTAGCAGTAGACGGTACTAGCGTACTAGTAGTGGTAGTAGTAGTAGTAGTAGTAGTTATGTAGTAGTAGTATAGTAGTGTTAGTGTTATTACTAGTTAGTAGTAGTAAGTAGTTAGTAGTATAGAGTATCATTAGTAGTAGTAGTAGTAGGAGCAGTAGTAGTAGATATAGTAATAGAAGTAGTTAGTAGTAGTAGTAGTAGTAGTAGTAGTAGTAGTAGTAGTAGTAGTAGTAGTAGTACTAGTAGTAGTAGTAGTAGTAGTAGTAGCAGTAGTAGTAGTAGTAGTAGTAGTAGTAGTAGCAGGAGGAGGGGGAGGAGGAGGTGGAGGTGCGCGCCCGGTGAATCCCCAGGAATGGTCCGTTGGGGAGTGCCGGGGGCCCGCGGGGGAATTCGCGGGAAGATGTCTCAAGCGAGGGCGCCAGATCGGAAATGATGCTGGGGCGCGCCGTGTGACCACGGTGCGATTTCTGCGAGGATGTGAGGGCGCCAGATTGGGACACGCCCGGCCCGCCCAGCGCACCCTCAGAAATAGCCTTAGGAGGCGCGCTGGGGCCCCGTGCGGCCATTTTTGCTGGGATATCTCGCGCGAGCGCGTCGGATTGGGACGCGCCCAGCGCGCCCAGCAGTGCATTCCTGGAAATTGGCCCTGCGGGCGCGCTGGGCGAGGCGTCACGTGAGTTCCACAGAAATCCCTTCGAAGAACTACTGAATTTGGGGGGGTCTGAAGCAGGAGCCCCAGCTTGAGAAGGAGAAGCTCTCCACCTTTGTTCCCCGAGCGCGTTCCACGATTCGCAAAGTACCTACTCACAAACGTCCGAACAAATGCACATCTCTGCATCGGTATAATGCAACGTAAATCCCTCATGGCGGGTCCGCGCCATTTGCGAGCAGGTACTTTGCGAGCAGTGGAGCGCGCTCGTCGATATGCTGCTGCTGCAAGCGTTGCATCCGAATGCGCGGCGCGCGGAGGCGCGAGGCCCATTCAGAGAAAAAATTTAGAACAAACAAGCAAACAAAAAAAACGCCGCTCCCCCATCCGTGCAAAAGTTGTTTGCTGCTCCAGAGAGGTCGCGCCCCTCCCCCCCTCCATCCCGGCAGCTGCTGCGGGGTGTTCGGACGAGCGTGCGCGGCGCTGGAGCCATGGCCCCATGCTGGAAATGGCGCCCCTCTTGTCTGCGTGGCCGCTGCAAGTTCTCCGAGCTTCAGGATCACGAGCGGTGAGGGAACTCTGTCGGAACGCCCGGCCCGCCCTACTGACACGTCTACGGGCGCGGCATGGAGGAGTTATGTCTACGGAGAGAGGGTGGAAGGAAGGGGACGAAGCAGGAGGCGGGAAGCGACAGACAAGAGTGGCCGGGGAAGGAAGAAGCGGAGGAGGAGGAAGAAGAGACATCTCACCCCATCGGCTCCCCCCTCCTCCTGCCGGAGGACGCAGTAAGCGAGAGGTCAGGAGGGAGTCGGAGAAAGGATGTCGTAGGAAGCAACCCCTTTCCGTCCATACATTCTCGTTTCCTTCATGTCTCTTTCCTTTTCTCCCAGCCTCTCCACACCCTCCTGGCCTCTCCGCCCCTCCGTCCCTCCACTCCCCTCCCGGACGAGGTTCGAGTGCCGATCGGGACGGCACTTTGGACGGGTCTGGGGACCGACGCCGCCTCGAAGTCGTCACCGAGGGCAGGCTGCGCACGCAATCTTCCGAGGGCGCACGGGAGCGGCAGGACCCGCAGCCTCGTCTGGCCCAGGGCGCAGGCAGCGGCCCTCTCGCCCCGCCGGCAGAGCACACCTCAGGAGGGAAAAAAAAAAAACACAGACACAGTGAATCATTGATCCCCCAGAAAATATGGGAAAATATGGGAAGTGGGGGGGAAGACAAAAACCCAGAAAATATGGGAAAATATGGGGAATAGTTTTATTTGGGTGTATTTATTGTGTATTTATTTGTGCGTCCTGGGGCCCCTTTAACACCGCCCTACAGGCGTGAGAGCCGTCTTCGTGTCGCCGGCCGCAGCCGCAGCCTCCGCCCCCGAAGCGGACCGAGAGGCTGCGGGGCATCCGACCGGCGCGCCGGGCGGCCATGGCGGGCGGGCGGGGCGACCCTGGCGACCTTCGCCGGCTGGTCCTGAAGGTGACCGTCGAGATCTCCCAGGACCAGGCCGACGTCATCCTCGTGTGCGAGGGGGAGGAGCCCGCGGCGCTGGCGGCGCAGTTCTGCGCGCGCCACGGCCTGCGGGAGGCCTTCCTGGGCCCGCTCGCGAGGCACATCCAGGAGAGCCTGGACAAGGTCTCGAGTTAAGTCGGGCCTGTCCCCCTACAGGGAGATTTCCGACGAAAATTAAAAAATACCCCAAACGTAGTCAAAAAATAATCTAAAAATAGTCTGGGGACTATTTTGGGGGTATTTGTTCACCTTTTTGGGATATTTTTTGAGTATTTCTAATTTTCCGACGAAAATCCCCCTGTAGGGGGACACGCCCGACGTAAGTCTCGAGGGAGCAAGAACCACCGAGACCCCGATAATGGACGTTTCCTAGACGGCCCTGGGCGTTTGCTAAGCAGCCTTGCGCCGCTCGATCCCTTCCATGGGTGCGTGTGCTGAACGGCTTCGCCAGTCGGGGTGCTTACTATGGGGGGGATGTCTTCTCTCTGAGGTCGCCCGCGGCGAGGTCGTGGCCTGCGACGAGCTGGCGGAGAGCCCCTGCGACGACCTGCCCGGTGGCTCGGGGCATCCCCATCTCAGCCTCCGACGTATGGCTTTGTTTCACCATCCACAGCTTCGGAGGTCCCGACCCCTCCCCTGGGGGGGTGGTTTTGCGCCCCCCGGAGCACTCTTCCCAGACCCCCACCTCCTCCTCCTCCTCCTCCTCCTCCTCCTCCTCCTCCTCCTCCTCCTCCTCCTCCCCACGTCGGCCCTCGCTCGGCGGCGCGCTAAACCCAGAGCCCCTCGCGTTGTGAAAAGAATCGCGGCGGGAGACTCTGTCCGCCATGCTCGGCCCCGGGGCTCTCCCCCCGGGCCCAAAGGGACCGTCAGAAAGAGGCTCGGGACGAGAAACGGGTCCCGGGAAAGGGGTCGAGTTTTTGTGTTCATGACACTTTTTGTTCCCCTAACTCAGGCGATGGCAAGCCCAGAGGTCCGGCGTCTTGAAGAAGTCAAGGCGGAGGTTTTTCTCGCAACGTTCGGCCTCTGGGGGCCCTCGCCGGGCCCCGGGTCCGTCCAGGAACGGCTCAGGATGACGAGCCGGTCCTGGGGAATGGGTCGAGACTTCGGGCGGCCGCGCATTGCAAAAATCGCGACGTCGGATCTCTGGGAACATGGATCGAGGGGGCGTGGATTAGCGACGGATCCCGTTTCCATGGGGAATCGCGAGCATCCGCCGCCGGGCGAGGCGGCAACGGCCGCATTTTGGGGGATGGCACCTCCCCCGACCCATGGACTCGGCGACCGCGCAAAAATCGCGACGTCAAATCTCTGGGTTTGCGCCCCCCAGATCCATCGCTGATGGCCCCGGGGCCCAATAGCAGCGTTACCGCAGAGGGTACCCACTCACGGGCACGTCTTGTGGAAATGTGCCGAAAGTTGTTACGTTAGGGTATCTTTTTGGCACTGCAGCGTTGCCATCATCGGGGAGGGTTGGATCGCCGGGTCACTGGCCACAGAACCCGTCATGATTCTTTCATGACGTCGACCCCCGAAGGTCCCGACCCATTCCCCGAGACCAGTTTCGCGTCCCGAGTCCTTTTTGGGGCGGTCCCGAGGCCTGGGGGGAGGGCCCTGGAAGGCCGAAAAGGACGAAGAACTTCCCGTCGTGATTTTTCCATGACTCGAGCCTAGACATGCGACGTCCTTATTTTTCCGATACGCGGCCCCTGGAAGTCCCGACCCCTTCTCCGGGACCGGTTTTTCAGCCTGAGTCGTCTTTTGACGGTCCCGGGCCTGGCGAGGGCCCCCAGAGGTCGAAAGTTGCGAAAAACGTTTTTGAATTGGAGGAGGAGGAGGAGGAGGAGGAGGAGGAGAGGGAGGAGGAGGAGAAGAGAGGAGGTTGGTGGCGGAGGAGGAGGAGAAGGAGGAGAGGAGGAGGAGAGAGAGGAGAGGAGGGACGAGGGAGAAGGAGGAGGAGGAGGTGGCGGAGGAGGAGCAGAGGAGGCGGGGGCGTTGCTCTTGGGTCGAGGGGGCCTGGGATCGTCGAGCCCTGTGCAGGCGGCCCCGCCGAGAGGGCGCCGAGCGCCGCCGGGCGCGCGGCGGCGCCGGCGCCGCCGGGCGCGCGCCGGGCGGGCCGCCCCTGGCGGGCGGGCGCGCCAGGCGGTGGCTCCCCGGCGCCTCGCGCCCGCCGGGGAGCCCGGCGGCATCCACGGCAGGCTCTACGACGAGGCGCAAGGGAGAGAGCGCAGAGGGAACAAAGAGTGGCATAAACATGAAAGCTCGGAGGTCCGCGCGGATTTCTCTCGATCGGCGCTGGACCCCCCTCCCTCGCGCGCTCCGCGCGCCAGGGGCGGCGCCAGAGGCGCCGCTGGGGGGCCTCGGCGCCGATCCGAGAAATCCGCGCGGACCTCCGAGTTTTTGTGTTCATGACACTTTTTGTTCCCCTAACTCAGGCGATGGCAAGCCCAGAGGTCCGGCGTCTTGAAGAAGTCAAGGCGGAGGTTTTTCTCGCAACGTTCGGCCTCTGGGGGCCCTCGCCGGGCCCCGGGTCCGTCCAGGAACGGCTCAGGATGACGAGCCGGTCCTGGGGAATGGGTCGAGACTTCGGGCGACCGCGCATTGAAAAGATTACGGCATCGGATCTCTGGGAACATGGATCAAGGAGGCGTGGATTAGCGACGGATCCCGTTTCCATTGGGAATCGCGGGCATCCGCCGCCGGGCGAGGCGGCAACGGCCGCATTTGGGGAGATGGCACCTCCCCCGATCCATGGACTCGGCGACCGCGCGCCAAACCCATGGATCGCTAGTCCATGTTTGCGCGTCTCCCCGATCCATGGACTCGGCGACCGCGCGCCAAACCCATGGATGGCTAGACCATGTTTGCGCGTCCCCGAAAAATTCGCCATCACCATTAACTTGTGGCGCTCCCCGCATATGTCTTGGATCTGCGCTGGGCCCCCGATCGGAGGAGATAAGACCCACCGAGCAGGAGAACCCACCGAGGCCTCCAATCGGAGAAGATCAAGCGCCACAAACATCAACTTTTGGCGCTCCGCGCGGATTTCTTGGATCTGCGCTGGGCCCCCCCGGCGGCGCCCCCGGCGGCGCCTCCGGCGCCGCCCCTGGCGCGCGCTCCGCGCGCCAGGGAGGAGGGTCCGGCGCAGATCCAAGAACTCCGAACGGAGCGCCAAAAGTTTGTGCTCATGTTTGTGGCGTGCCCTCTGCTTCCTGTTCCAGAGGCGGCGCAGCGCGAGCTCAAGATGAGGCACCTGCAGAGCCACTACGCCGGCCTGAAGCAGCAGGAGCCCCAGACCCCCCTCGCGCTGCGACGAGAATCACGACGGGAGGTGTCGCGCCATGTGCGGCCCCTGGGGCACCCTCGCCGGGCCCCGGGGCCGTCAGGAAAGGCTCCAGACAGAAGACCGGTCCCGGGGAGCGGGTCCGGACTGCTGGGGGTCGCGCCATGAAAAGATCACGACGTCGGGGGTCTGGGGTCGGTGGCGGCCAAGAGGGGGGTGATGACCAGGGGGGGTGTACTCGACTAGACGTAAGAGTGACCTTTCGCCAGAGTGACCTTTGGTGCGGGCCCACGGGGGTACCCCGATCGCCGAGCGTGAGGCGGCAGAGGCGTCTTGCGCGCCTACGTTTGGCCCCCCGCGGCTCCCAAAAAGCCGCGCACCAAAGGTCACTCTTTCCCAGGGTCACTCTTGCGCGTAGTCGAGAGACGTATCATGGCGGGGTCCAGGATATCTCCCCTGATTTTTTGTCGCCTCTTCTTATTTTACTGCGTCCCCGCCCCCCCCCCCCGGGCCGCGCACATGCCGCCAGCCATGATTTGCGCCCTCCCCTCTTGGACGCCCCCCTCTTGGCCGTCCCGGAGGAGGAGGACCGCGAGATGACGTTCAGCCCCAACCTGGAGGCGTCTCAGCGCAGGCGTCGACTGAAACGTGAGGGTGACTTTTCGCTGGAGTGACCCTTGGTGCGGGCCCAATTGGAGGGCCCGAACGCGATGCGGTAGTAGCGTCTTGCGCAGTGGTGTTTGGTCCCCCCGCGGCCCCCAGAAAGCCGCGCCTCCAAAGGTCACTCTTGCCCAGGGTAACTCTTTGCGTGTAGTCGAAGGTGCCCTGGATCGTCACGGTCGGTCCGAGACCCAGAGGGGCTGGGAGCCAAGATGAAGCTCGAGATGATGCGCGCCGAGGCAGAGCACGAGAAGCTGGCCCAGGAGAGCCTCATGTTCAAGCCGCAGCTGTTCTCGCGCCTGGAGGCCGTGGCATCCGGTCGCGAGGCGTCGTCGCCTGGGCGATCGGTGTCGGCAGGCTCGGTCACGGTGTACGACGACCGCCCCCGGCCCAGCCCGTCGCAGGCCGACCGGCCGGCGGGGCGCGACTGCGCCACCCCGTCGAGGGCCCGGCGCCTCGACTCGGCGAGGTCGGCCCGGTCGGAGGAGCTCCTCGCGCGAGGCGAGGCCTGGACGCCCATCGCCGACCCGCCGCAGGTCGGCCACGCGCAGAGGGGGGTAAGGGGGAGGGAGGGACGGCTTCTTAGAAGCAACACGGCTCCTTGTCAGACGCGGGCCTTTTCTGTAGATGTACGGCCCGCGCCTTCTAAAATGCAGAATCCTTCTCAGAAGCCTTCCCCCCTCCTGGAGGGTTTCTCCGAAGGTTTTAGGCGACCCGTCCTCCTCCTCCTCCTCCTCCTCCTCCTCC